TTCCTGAGCCTTGATTTTCTTAACAAAATGATTGTCAGAAATGCCCCTGCCCTTCCCCTCCTGCTCCAGCCACAAGGAGAGGGGTATCATTTAATGGTTCTTATCAAGGGAATAAAAATGAAAGGCAAAGAAAGTGGTAGAAGTGGGAAGCTCTCCAAAAGTCATAGTGCCCATTACGGTGTGCTTCTAATTCTAGCTACAGATACAGCTGAAAACTCTAAAGAGTTAGTTCTTAATAATCTAAGCAACATTTTTTTTACTTGATCATAAATCACAAACCTTTAAAACAACTATTTCCAGTCAGCAAAACATTTTTACAGCTCTGCTTGTTTTACCCTGTGGTGACAGACTTATCTCGCTCTGTCCTTATCCTAAACTCAGATATGACAATGGGAATGGACAAAGATACAAAGAAAATAATCAAATATCAAATAAGAAAATACCAAAGTCTGTGTTTCCTCAGTTGGAGTTTTCAATTCAGCTGGGAAGTTTTCTGTGGTTTGTGGAATGTTTCAAGTTTAAAACCACCACAGCCAGAACACACTCTAAAAAATATCTCCTGTGTGTATGTTGTATGTGTTGTTTTTGTTATTGTTTTTTAGGGGGTTGTGTGAAGTATAAGAGAAGATATTTAATGGTCTAGCTCTGCACCTTCAGAAAGACTGGCTGTGTTCTTAGGCTTGATATGAACTTGGCTGTTATTTCTTAACAAATCATCTTAGTAATCTAACCTGCTGTTTTCCCAACTCTAGAAATGGAACTTACTTGAGTTCAGTCCCACAGATAAGGCAGGAGGACTATTTAAAAAGTTAGCCAACATGTCACCTACTAGGGACTTTTCATAAAGTAAAGAAATTAATATTCTAAATAGTTTTAGCCCTCTAGCCTGTGCATGTTTCAACTTGCTTCATCATCCACAGAGAGCCTTTTCTTTAAGCTTCCCCATGAGTGTGAGCACAGGTTCAAATGGTGGTAATTATTATTAAAACAATTGTGTTGTCCTCCCAATAAAAATCACTCTGTTGATCAACCAATTTGCAGCCCCCTTGTTTGAGGACCCTTATGCCAAACGTAGCTGCAGATAAATTAGCCCACGTGTGATTGCATGTGAAAACACATTGATTTACGATTTTTCCCCTCTCCCGTTCAACCTGACAACTTGTCTAAATAGGCTTCTGTCACGACCTGACAGCTCATGGATAAGTTGTGTACAACAGACCATTAAAACAAAATGTTCTGAATATGGAGAGTGCAAAACACAGACAAAGGGATAAGATTAAAAGACAAAAGAATGAACAAAGGAGATGAGGGGAGTTGTGGAGCCTGAAGAATTACCCTTTAATTGTGCTTTCAGACTTTGTCACAGGCTGGATTCTTGGAAGTAAAGCCTGAAATGGAGTTTGAGGAGATTGCTTATGAAGGATCAACAACTGTGGAAGGCAGGAGACTGAGGCAGGATTGGGCAGAGAGAGAAGTTGAGCTGTGATGCAGGCTGTACAAAGTCTCAGCTAAGACCCCCTTTCCTGGGGAGTTTGAGAGTGGTCCTGTGTTGGGCTGAAATGGTTGGGACCTTATTATCCCCTATCACTCAGTCATTGCAAAGGCAAGGATGTGCTCTTAGGTTGAGGTGGCTCCCTGAAGCTAAGGCAAACCCTGACTAAGCTGACAGCTGTAATACAAAGTCCTTCCTTGGAGGGGGATCTAGGCCATGCATGCCTGTGTCCACCACAGAGATATTTACAATTAACTATATGATTGTAGCCCAGCTGTCTACATCTCCACATCATTTTCCAGTCCAGATCATGTTATAAATCTCCACAGAATAACAGCTCATTTTATTAAGCACTGATTAGCCCCATGCTATGAGCTGTATCTACCTTATCTCATTTAATTCTCATAACAACTCTAAGAGACAGGGATTTATAAAATCCCCATTTTTAGATGAAGCAACTGAGGGCACTAAAGATGACTTGTCAAAGGCCAAATAACTGGTGAATGGCAGAGTTGACATCTGAATTCAAGGCTGTTTGTGTTCAAAGTTCACTCACTTAATTATGAAACTGTTCTCATTGAAACAGATATAGGTTTATAGGTCACTACTGCCACTCCTTCCCTGACCTTCACCAATAAGCTCACAAAAGAGCCTATTTCTTGGGTGGAGAGAAATAGCCATGTGTTCCAGTAGATCTTTGCCTCTTTTTGACTGTCAGAACCACTAAGTATTTTATTTAGCATATACTATGTTCTATTGCTTCTGGTTGGATTCCTGGGGAAACAAGGAATTTATTAGGGCTTGCTCTATGCATCCACAACTAGGAAATGGAGGACAAGAAGCAGGAGTGAGCAGATGAAGTTAGACTGCAAAGCAGTTTCACTGAAGGTATCAGCTGATCCCATAGGGAGCTCTAGCTAAAATGGCTCATCAGAGTTGTCCTAAGTTGGGACAAGGGGGCTCAACCTTTAAATACTGTGCCAGCCAGCTGTTGGGTATGGGATGCCTTGGGAATGTAGTATGACCTTGAGCTAGGTGGCTCTCTGCAGCTAAGACAAATCACAAAGTGAGACTCAGCTGAGGGGATTCAGAAGGCATATCTCAGCATCCACTACAGCTATTTTCCTTCAAATACTCCAAGGATTAAATATTATTAGTACCATTTAATAGGAGAAAAAAATGATGGCAAGACAAGTTAATGACTTATCCAGAGACATGTAGGTAGCATTTAATTATCAATACGTTTAACTAATATATGTTGAGTACCATCTGTGTGCCAGGCATTGTGTTGGGTCCTGAGAATTTAATGGTGAACAAAAAAGGACCCCTGACTTCATCCAAATGATATTTTAGTGTTGACAACTGTTCTAGACAAAGAAAAAATTAGGAGTTTGTCTATTTTTTATATATCTAAAAAACAGCTATCTAAAAAATACTTAATTCAGAGAATGGACATTTAAAGCCCATTTGTACATGTTGCCAAACTTCTTTTCAAGAGAGTTAAAAAATTGTAAACTTGTATACTTAAAATGTTTAGAACAGGGAAAAGGGAAACCTACTTGATCATGAGATTTGTGGTTAGCATAAGGAGGAAGTGTTCTTTATAAATCAACCTTTAACTAGCCAGCCAGTTTTCATCTGGAATCTCCAAAGGCACTGCAGATAATAATACCCAGTTCTTCATAATTTCACTGATAGCATCAATAACATCAACAACAAAAGCCAACCAGTCAAAAAGAAAACTTTTATCAAGCATCTATTCTCATTAGCTCATCTCACTTAAGAAACTGTTGTTTAAGAGATTTAGTAAGTCGATTACTTCCAGACAGAGTGAATAAATAGTGTAACTGAACCAGATCTCTTATAACCTAGAAATTTTCTAACAATTTATTTTCTTATTTTAAGCAATATAATTCAACTAATTTTAAAATATATTTTTATTGATTTTATAGAGAGGGGAAGGGAGAGGGAGACAGAGAAAACCATCAATGTGAGAGAGAAACATAGATCAGCTATCTCTTGCATAACCCCTACTGGGGATCAAGCCTGAAACCCAGGCATGTGCCCTGACCAGGAATAGAACAGTGACCTTTTAGTGCATGGGATGCTGCTCATCCAACTGAGCTACACCAGCCAGGGCCAATAATTTCATTCTTGACTATCTATTGAAGGCCGGCACAATCAAAATGGTGCCAAACTCACCTCTCAACCCACTCTGTGCTTTGGCACCATGGCATTTATTTGGATAGGGAAAGAAGGAGAGGGCAAGAGTTGCCTCTACTCTGGGTTCTGATTCAATAGACGTAAGGCATAGCCTGTTATTTCTATTTGTAAAGTGTTTTCCCTACTCCTAAATCCCCCAAATGAGAACCAAGGCTTTCACATCTAGAACTTTTCCTTTCACTTACCCCTGAAATGTTTCATGTTTTAGTCCATCAAGACAGTCAAGGAACTTGTTAGCCAGTTAAAAAGGTTGGTTGGAGTTCAGCTTTTAATGGATGATCCTGAATCACACTGCTACCCTTTAAACTAACATTTGTAGGTCAAGTGTGTTTGAGACCTGATCAGTGAGTGACTACATTGTGCAGACCTTAATGGCAGGCAAAAAGACATCAGGATTCTGGGAGTCCTGGAATAGTGGACATAATAATGGGTATAAAAAAATAGACTAGAAGCAGGTCTTATCATCCATGACTCAGCAGGGAAGAGGTAAAGCAGTCTCAAAAAGACCACTCAAGAGATGGACTAATGCATCTTTGTGTTGCAAGGATGGTGCTAACCTTGCACAAGAAAAAAAAAGCCATAGAGCTCCACAACTGGTAGGTAAATAGAGAACTGTCAGGAGAGTTAAAAAAAGGATTGAAACTGATGCAAATATTTGCTCAGAATAGACCCATAAGTTGTGCAACTCTCTTATATCACCTGAGCTGAACAAGACCTGCTCAGGGGAGAATTCCAAGATAAACCCTAAGATCATAATTAACAGGACAGAAATGATAACAGCAACCCAGATCTCAGAATGAAGCATGTATACTTGTATTTTGCATTTCTTCAAATTCTTTTAGATAAACCCCTGCTTGCCAAAAAAAGATGTGTGCCTATGTAAGGGTGGTCAAAAGCCTTGCTTATAGTCAGGTTTTCAAAAGTGAGTTCTCAGAGAAAGTGCCTGGAATAGTGTTGTAAGGATTTTAACCACCACAAGGAGGTAACTTATTACACACACAAAATGATAAATTCAATAGTCATAACAACTAAAGTTCTCAACAGAAATAACTTCTATATCTCCCACCCATGTAGACCTGCCTACATAAAAAAGCTGCACTGTGTGGATACCTACCTCCATTTTTCACCAGGAACCTCAATCATGTAAAGACCTAATAATACCAGCTTGTGTTCATATAGCTTCTAGGCTTACAAAGTAAATTCAATATGTATGTAAGCCTCAAAACGATCCCAGGAGATATCTTTCATATGCCCCCATTTTATTAAGGAGTAAACTAAGGCTTACCCAGGTTAAATGACCACCCAAAATTTCCACTTAGGTGTCCACTTCTGATAAGGTTGGAGTAGATTTTTGCAGATTAGCCTTTCCACAGAGAATGACTTGATGAGTGAAACTGAAATACAAAGGCCTCAGAGAGCTCCCAACGCAGCAGGGACTTGAAAAACCTGTGTCTTAGTCCTTTTGAGCTGCTATAACAAAAACATTACTAGGTGGTTTAAATATCAACCACTTATTTCTCACAGTTCTGAAGGCTAGAAAGTCCAAGATCAAGGCTTTGTAGATTTGATGTCTGGCCAGCTTCCTGGTTCATATATAGCCATCTTTTCCTGCAACTTCACATGGTTGAAGGAATGAAATATGGCTCTGGGGTCTCTTTTTAAGGGCACTAATCCCATTCACAAAGGATCAGCCCTTATGACCTAATCACCTCTCAAAGGCCCCACCTCTCATCAGCACACTGAGGGGGTTAAGACTGTAAAATGTGAATGGGGGTTGGGGACACAAACATTTAGTCTACACCAGCTAGGATCCGAGAGAGATAGGAAGTGCATTGAGGAGAATCTGGCATTCTGTACACAAATTCCCCCTTGAGGCATCTGCTGATTCATAGGCAACTTGGGGCCAAGAGTCTAAGAAGCCAAGTACAAAGTGTCAAATAAGACAGTGGGAAGCCAAATGGAGCTTTTGGTAGTCTCAGAGTATGGGGAGACAAAACTTGGAGTTCAGGACTACTTAGTAGGTCAGAACTTGAGGGGCTAAGATTTCAGAGAGTGGGGGAACATACTGAAGTGAGCCTGAGATTCTTAGAAGCATTTGACACAACATCCATCCTTTCTGCATAAAGATTCAACAAGCTTGAAGGTAAAGGGATGGAAATAGTTATACCATGAAAACATTAACCAAAAGAAATATGGCATAGCTACAATAATAGCAAGTAAAAAAAAAAATAATAATAGCAAGTAAAGTAGAGTTTCAGGCAAAAAAGTATTATGAAATAAAGAAGGACATTTGATAAAAAAGGGTCAGTCTGTATGAAGATAAAACAACCATATATGTATATACTAATACTAAGGACCCAGCGCACAAATTCGTGCACCTTGTAAGGAACTGTGGGCCACAAGGCTGCGGTGAGCACAGGGGTAGGTCTCAGCCCATCCTCCATGCCCTTGCCTAGCCCCTCCCACCATGGCCCCCAGTCCCTGTCTGCCAGCCCTTGCCTAGCCCCTCCCACCATGGCCCCCAGTCCCCTGTCTGCCAGCAGCCCCACTCCTGCCACTGCTGCTCCCACCTGCTGATAGCATGGAGCAATTGGGACTGGTGCCAGCAGTGGGTGCAAATGGCTGCCGGCCCCAATTGCTCCTCAGGAGCAGGGGGAGGTGGAGAAGCCCTCAGGGGCGATCAGGGCTGGCAACCGCCGCTTGCACCCACTGATGGCATCAAGTGATTGGGACTGGCACCGAGAGCCGGCAGTGGGTGCAAGTGGGGCTGGCACCAGCAGCAGGTGTGAGCACTGGGCAGGACTGTGGCATGCAGGAGCAAAGAATTTTCAGTAGCCACCAGAGGCTCGCCCTGACGACAGTGACCAGCGACCCGCCTTGCTCTGGTGTCCCCACTCACCTGCTCCACCATCCCGCTGCAGCCGATGCCCGCCATGTTCTGTGCTCTGCCACCTGCTGCTGATGCCCGCCATGTTCCATGCACACCCCCTGGTGGTCAGCACACGTCAAAGCAATCAGTTGTTCGGTTGTTCAGTTGTTCCACCGTTCAGTCTATTTGCATATTAGGGTTTTATATAGATAGATAGCCTCAAAATCCAAAGCAAAAATTGTCTGAAATAAAGAGGAAACATATATCCACAATCATGGTAGAGAATTTTAATGTAACTGCCTTATTGTTGAAGGTCCAAGGCTATCAGCAAGCCTATACTAGTATACCACCATTTTCCAAATACACAGCTTTCAGGGAATTGTCTAAAATAATTCCAAGGATGGAAAAGAATTCCAAGGAA